GTTAATTCTATAAAAGTAATATTACTAAGCTTTCAACAACATATTGACAGTAATAGTAGGAGGATGGATGGATGGATGGATGGATGGATGGATGGATAGATAGATAGATAGATAGATAGATAGATAGATAGATAGATAGATAAACACATGTAACAAGCAAGATTGCAATAAAAAACCAGGTGCTTTGGCCTTCCAAGCCCTTTCAGCAAGTGTGTGTGTGTGCATGCACACGCGCACATGTGTGTCTTTGTCTTGAATAACCTGGAATATTGGATACAGCAGTTATTCTGGAAATCTACTGGAAAAGATTGATATGATGGTATTTCTTATATCAATTTATGTGCAGAGAATATAAATGACTGAGGTAAACTGTTATTAAAACTGTTTCCAAAGTTACATTAAATATCTTCACCCAGAGTTGAATTATGCTTTTCTTAACAGCATTGTGTACAGAGGTGGCAATTGATCGATGAGAAAATATGAGTGAATGTGTCTTTTCAATTAATTTAAAGTGTTGGTAATTTTTCAACCACATGTTTGCAAATACTGTCAACTGTATAAAAGCAGGGGAGGGTCCAAACAAATGTAGAAAAAATAATAAGAGGAAGAAAAAATAATAGATTGTAATTTCTCTGAAGCTTTATAAGTTTGCCTTGAAAGTCAATTTGCCAGTGTTCTAATGTCCTTGACTTGATCTCCAGTTCTTTAAATGCTTCACAGTTTAAAAACTGGTCTTGAAATTTGGGATAGGACATATAGCTAAGATTTTCAACATTTACTGATGAACGATAGCAACATGAACTATAGCTATTCAGTCCCAGCAAAGATGACCTGCTAGAAAGTGAACTAGAAATTGAATTTGGAATAGATAGCCAGAGTAAGGAAAGACAGGAAAATGTTGTGCCATTTCCAAAGTTAGAGTAATGCTGTAGACGTTGGAAAGTTCTTAACTAAAGACAATTTGTTTTGGAAAATGCTGATTGCTGTCCAAACCCTTATATAGTATTCTAGCCTTCCCATTTCATCCCAGCCTCTGAGACTGTGCTGGATATTAAAGAACCTGATACTCCACCATGTCTCTAATTCACGAGCAGCTGGCCTATGATGGTAATTACATTTGTTTGATGAAATCTTTGGTAATCAAGGATGCTATTTTCTTAATGATCTCTACCCCATGGACTCTAGTCCTTAGGAATCTTGATTCAGGACTTTCAGATTCAGTGATCTCATATTCCAAGGGGCAGAACTGATTAACTTGGGCTTTGGGGAAAATGTTAATGCCTAAGCTGGCTTTTCTCTAGATGTTATCCAAGTGAGTGTCCAAGTAGTGCTCTGCTGAGACTTTACAGTTAACAATAGATGAGTGCATTCCAACTTTCTAGTTAGCTTTTAGCCTTCCAATCGTCTCTCTGCTTTGCACTCACACAATGAAGAAAGCTGGGTTAAAATTCCCATGCTGTGTTGTTCTACTTCATCATCACAATTGTCTATGGTGCTTCTCCTGTTTTGGAAAGATAAACCTTTGAAAGGTCTCTCTACAGAGAGGCTCAGCACATGGTTAAAAAATACTACCTTTAAGGGACAATGTGAAAATAGGTTCTCCTCATGTCTCCTTCACATAGTAATCATCCAAGGGGTGGGATAAACTCCTTTTAGGGCTTCACAGGACAAAAACACAGGAGCTTTGTAAGCTTACAGCAATGCAGGCCTATGGGGTTGAGTGGCAACTGGAATGTTTAGCTCTTCCTGTGTTTACTCTCAGTCTGAATAAACTCAAATATCTAAAACTGCTGTAACCTTCTTCAAAAAACAAAGTTCAGCAAGTACTACCTCCTGGAATTTTTGTCACTCAAAATGTGGGAAAGCATAACAATATCATTAAAATAAAATAGCATCAATCTATACAAAATATCATTTTAAAAGCCAACAAGAAAACAACTCCTGTATATTATTATTTTAAAAATCCAAAAAAGTCAGGCAAGGATTTCCCCAAGTTCAACATCTTGTCTCCTTCTGTGATCACCTCATCTGAACTTTTCTACTAGTATTTTTTTATTCCCCTCTTCCTTTAGTCTATTAAGCTGAATCTGGTATTTGGATAAGTTTACAAGTTTTGTTACATATATGATTGAATTGATTTTCTAACTAACAGGATTGAGACCATGTTATGTTGTGGAGGGGAGGGTTAACCACCTTCTTTCATGCTTCTTTCTGTCTCAGTGAAAAATATCTTCTAAAACTGCTATCTTGAAAGAAACCTCCATTCATGTTAATGGAAGTTTTTTTCTCAGATAACAGAAGCTTCCTTTCTAGAATGGAGGAGTTTTGTTAGGAGGACTAGACTGTGAAGGGAGAGGATTAACAGCCTTTCATCATATTTTGATCCCAGCCCTGTTTATCAACATGTCCCCTAGCAACTCTAACGCCTACAATGAGAGGAAAAAGCAGCCACATCAATGGCATTCTCATATTTATCATCACGTCTGTGTTGGTCACAGAGTTTTGAAAATAAACATATTACAATAAATATGTACTAATAAGCATGTAACTTTAAAAAATCAAGCTATCTGGGATAAAATGAAAAAAAGAATACAGTAGATACATTGTTATCATACAGAAGAACGGAAAGGGGAAAGAAGGGAAGATTCTGCTGGAAAACAATGACAGAAGGGAAGGATTTTTAAACTATTGCAAAAAAAAAAAAGCATGTAAAGAAAATATTGAAATTGAAATTCAAAATAGAATTTCAGATTGAAAATGTTTAATAATACTTAAATTTACTCTCTGCATCAGATTAAGGAAGAAAGAGAAGGGATCCTACAGTCAGATGTTAGTGAATTCATTAAAGACATTTAAAGCAATCTAAGTTTAGGTCCAAATCCATATTCTACAAAACACAGAGGCATTAGAGCAAGAAATACTATAGATTACTTTCAAAATGTATAATATGCCATAAAATTCTAGTCTTTTCTAAAAGACCTATCTTGTCCTTGTAGATTATACTGTAACATCTGAGCTCTAATAATGGGAAACATAAGGTGAGACTCGCACAAATACATTCTGAATATTATTAGCATACATCTGTAACTACATTCAGCTGTTGTTCCCAAAATAAACACAACCAAAGCAATGATAAATTATTACTACCTTTTTATTTTTATTTTTACCAAAGTCTGTTTTTCAGTCAAACTGTGATCCCAATATAGTATGCAATTCAGGATCCGCATATGGACATGTACCGACTATATATTTTATATCTAAGTCTATATTCAAAAATCCAAAGTGGTATGTTTCACATGGTCTAATATTCTAAAGGAATAACCATTTATACCCCCTTTTTTAGACTAAATTGGATGAAATTTCAGCAATAGCCACTAAAGAGAGGGCAGAACCTGTCAAATTACAAATAGGTGTACCAGTTTTCATGCTAGATGATCTTCTGTTTCAAAGTTTGTTTACTTTTTTTTAAAAAGAACTGCTAATAATAAGTTATTGCTTGGCAGAACTGGATGACATTTGTAGGCAAAATGGATGCTTCTGTAGAGATCAAGACTGCCAAGATTTTAAACAAATTTTTAGAGTGTTTTATGTAAGAACCACCCTTACAGCTCCCCCTCCCCCCAGACACACAAATTGCACTTATTCCAATTTATTTCTTTAAAACAAAATCCAACATGTTGGCAGTCACCTCCATGCAAAAATAAACTTTCACAAGTTTCAGCTAAAAGGCATCCTTGACAGAGCGAACGGATGATTCATGCTTTGTGGTTTTAAATCACATGAAGGCCTTTCCCATCTTGATCTATGTACATGTAGGTGGCCATTTACAATAGCTTGCAAATAGGAGATAATATGGCAGTGTGGTGCAATCAGACCGCAGCTCGCATATATAGTCCTGCTCCATACATTTAGTATGGAGGAAGCCCCTCAAAAACTTTCATCTCTGAAGAGATCTGCTTGTAGAACTGAATACATACGTACATTCATACATACATTATATATACACATATATAGCTCTTCTCTTTCAGGGTAAGCAATATTATGCAGAATGCAAAAAAGGAGTATGAAACAGTAAGTCCAAGAAAGCATAAGATAAGGAAAAGAAAATTAACCATAAGTAAAACATGTTTACGTCAACACCATTCACTATATCTCTCCAGACCTTTCTATCCTTGGAAATCATGTTGCTTCCATCACATCATTTACTTCATCTATTGCTTCTGCTTTCTACACTTGTCAGCAATCGCTTTCTGAAGATCTCACCAATTCTATCTAACCAATACACCACCCATCCTTCTTGACTCTACCTATTCTTATTTTATCACACACATTCCTTAAATAACTCATCCCCTTTGCATTCAACTTCTATAGTTTTTATTCCATATCCCCAAACGAGCAGCACATTCTTATACATAGCCATTTTCACTTCTTTTGACAAACATTCATTTTTCACAGCAGATCACATGCTACCCATTACTTTTCAACCAGTATTTACATGACTTAAAAATTCTCCCTTTGTTTTTGCATATTCAAGAAACATTCAGCCAGGGTACACAAATTCATGTACTTGCTCTCATTTTTTACCATATGTGTAAATTGCAATTGTTCATTCCATTTTTCCCTATTACACACGTAATGGTCTTTGAAACATTAATTTTTATATTCACATTCCTCATTACATAAATAACATTTATCTAACATTTAGCTTCTCAGCAACAACAAAGCATTATATGCAAAACATACACACACACACACACACACACATCCCTGGACAATATATGTCTAATACTACCGCATTCTTTATACATTTATCCATCAATGAATTAAACAACTAGTGGGATATCACATTACTTTGCTTACTCCCTGCTCAATGTTGGACCATTCCTAAGCATTCCATTAATTCTCATGCATGCTTTACTTATATCACGTACCATATTTATTATATTTAGCAACAAACCAATTCTCAACTCCATATTTCTGCAAAATTTTCTATAATTCCAGCCTATCTACTTTATCATATTCTTTCTCTGAATCAACAAATTTGCAATAAACTTTCTTTCTCATATTTTTAAGTTTTTCAGTGACCTGCTGAAGAGCAAAAATCTGGTCCATTATATCTCCTGACTAAAATGAAGCTGCACCAGACTTGCCAAATTTGGCTCACTGTCACCTTTTGGAAACTTTCAGTCATAATTCTTCCAATCAGTTTCATGGGAACACTTAATACACTAATCCCCTGTTGTGTTTACATTCTGTCTTGGTACTTCTCCCTTTATATAGGGCAACAATGAACACTATGCTAGTCTGGCACAGATGTAGTACTTACAAACAGGTTAAACTAGTCACAGCCATTCCATAAGCAAGTCATTCCTCTAGTAACATTATTTATACTTGCAATGTTACAATTCCTCATCATTGTCCCAGCACTGATAACTTCTTTTCCGTCATTTTTGTAGATGCTAACATTCATACCATTGATTTCCATTCCATGTAAATTTCTATCCATATCTCTGCTCCTTTCACAATTTCCTCACTTCAGTTTTATCTAAAATAATTTAATCACTTTTGTTTTTAATTCCATTCATTCTGCTGGAAGCTCTTTAAGTCCAGTTCATCCACTTCTGAAAAAAATATTTCCATCAAAATTATTCTGCATTTTCCTTCTTCTAATCTTAACTGTGCTTTGCTTTCTTTCAGTATATTCTTCATAACTTTATTTTTCTCTCTATTCACATTATACAATATCTTTCTCTCATCCTTATTTATACAGCAATTGTTCTCCTATATGAAATTTTCCCTCACCCGCAGCCTTTTTTACTTCATCATTCCAAAAAGCATTATTTTTCATACTTCTTATTAGCATAATTCCACACACTTTTGTGGCACTTTGTAATATAATTATTTTCATTCTGTTTCAAGTAACTTCCATGTCCTTGTCACCGATCTTTTATCACAAACCATCACATTAATCATGCTTTATTCCTTGCCACGTGTACATATGAATAGATTGAAAACAATACTGAAAACGAACAGATATTTTAAATATGGAAGAAATATATATGGATGTACATTCATTTCAATCCCCAAGTAGCTACATTTAAGTAGCTAAGTAGTATCTACTAGCTGGTTTGGGGAACACCTAAACTACTCCTCCCAAATAATATTGTTCAGGCATTTCCTATCCTACAACTCCTAGGATCCCCAGCAAGCAGATAATGGGAGCTGTAGCCTCAGTACATATGATGGATGCTAGGTTAGGGAAGGCTGATACAGACAAAATTAGAAGTTATGTTCCAAAGTACCCATTAGTACATACCAAAATGTGGTGAAAGCGTGTTTTTACATTATTTAACTTTCCTAAGTGTATGACAGCTTTGTTAGAGAGAGTAAAAGGATGCTTTACTGGTGTTATTACTAAGTACACATCCCTTAATGGTTTTGAAAGGAAGACTAAGATCAACAAATGGCTAACTTGCCTTTCAAGTCCTTTTCATCTACTTAGCAGATTACCATAAAACAGATGTTCCCTCTTCTACTGTCTCTTAATAGTCCATTAATTCTCACATGGAGCAGGGCCTTGGCAACACATCACTGAGTGTGTATATTGGGAGCAATCCTGCTTTTTTTTTTTTTAGTTAACAGTCTGCATAACCTATTCTGTGTTCACAATCCTGACTCACATTTTAATTTATCTTTTCTTGCTCTATGTCTCTTCTTGCAGTCATAGAGTTAATAGTTTCTTCTGATTTCCAAACCTCTGTCTGTTGCACAAAAGAAATACTGGTTTATGGCTTGTATATGGAAATTGAAAGAGTTCATGGATAGAACTAGACAGTGCTAACTGACTGTTTTGTAGACTTATAGAACTATCAAGACTACAACTTAACGCATTTCCATAGTACAACTGCCTTCAGTCTTCAATCACCCAAAAACAGAAGACAATCCACAACAGGGACTTTGGAGACCCTGTAGTACCACATGACCTACATCAGGGTTCCTCAACCTCAGCAACTTTAAGATGGGTGGACTTCAACTCCTATAATTCCCCAGCCAGCATGGCTGGCTGGGGAATTCTGGGAGTTGAAGTCCACCCATCTTAAAGTTGCTGAGGTTGAGGAACCCTGACCTACATAATTTTCAGCCTCACGTGTTCTTCTGAATGCCATAAAAGTTCCTTTTCTTAAGAAAAACTTCATCTATAAGCATCTCAGTGCAAACAAGTCAACCAAGACAATACATATTGTGTATACTTGAATCAGGCTTTGGAAAACTAACACTTTGTTTCTGATTGTTCCAGGCTTTGGATGTGAAGTATGACTATATCAGTACTAATGTTGCATCACTAATCCACTCGCTTTCTTATTTTACAATTCTGACTATGTGTGGGAATGAAGGACGAGCTTTTCCTCAGGCTACAATTCTCACTATTGCAAGCCACACATCCAAGTAACACTGGGTGATGAGAGCTGTACTCAGCCATCTGGAGACTACAAGATTGGGAAAGGCTGGACCTGGCCTGGAAGAATTCCAAACCTTTGGCTGAACACTTATTGCACTTTCTCTGGAAGCAAGTAACATTCACTGTGATGAAACACATTTACAATTAAACAATAGGTTGTAAGATTTTTGGAAACAAGTGTTCTCTAGGCTATAGCTGTAGACTTCCACAGGCAATGCAGTGTATTATGAAAGCCTGCAAGATAGAATTCTGTTCCCTGCAGGAAACTTGCAGCCACAGGGTCCTTAACATATGGCTGTCCGGCTTTTGCTTAAATATGTCCTTCCTGGAGTACTCTATTCCATCATGCAACAACTCTTGTTTGAAATTTTTCTAATGTTGCAATTTCCACTCATTAATTGTTGCTCAGCCCTCTGGAGCAACAAAAAGTGAATCTGTTTCAAAATCTGAGAATTTCTCAAAGCTTTAAGGACTTGAGTATACAGGCTGAGATGTTGAGATTTCCCACAACTTGAAATCTTGTGTCACATGCAGCTGACACCCCCACTCCCAAAATCCTGTTTCAAAACAGCTCCATTTTGAAGCTGTTGTGATTAGGAGGATGAGAGGCAACAAGCAGATTCTTATCTAGCCTTCCACTGATAAATTTCTACATATTTAATGGTAGTCAGTTCTTAATAAGGATGCTGCCATGTTATTACCAAACAATTATACATCAAGAGACTTTACAGACAACAAAATTAAAGAAGTCATGCATTAAAAAAAAAAAAAAGCAAGCTTTCCTGGATGTATTTTCTACAAAAACTAGGCCATATTGTAAGTGAAATTCAATAGTGAATTTCACTTACAATATCATATAATTTAAACTACCAGACATACCTTTCCTGACTTGGAACATTCTGTCCAACATTATAAAAGCAAGATAAAGAATAGATATATGATTAGAATTTTATACAACAAAAGCACAAGAAATATGCGCTTATTTTGTCACCTTTGTATTCTGTAAATATGTGGTAAATTGGTAAGCAAAAATAAACCATACTCCCAAAACAACCATCTCAATGTTGTAGCTGTCATTACCCCATTATCACTTTTCTTAATATTCATTAAATTTATATGAAAGACCACAGCTCTGTGGTGAGAAAAGGGAAGATGTAAGATGGAGAGAAAGAGAGAAAATCCCTGTGCAGAAATTAATAGTGTAGATATGTTAAAAGAGAAATTTACTTGGTCTTTCCATTCTCCACATAGCTTGTTCTATAAAATCCAACCAGGGAACCATTCAAATAGCCTTTGAACTTCATACTCAGTGAATAGTTGCTAGGATGTAAGTCTTCTTCTGCCTCTATTACCACATATTCCTGTGGTTCATATCCAAAACAACTCTTTACAGCAATGACCTGGTCTGCGGCATTCCAGAGCTCAGGCATTTCCATGATCTTCATTTCTCTCAGGTGAAGCCACAAATGCCTGGTTGTCTGTTCTTCCAACCTGATGGAGATCTTTACCGTTCCGGTGTACACCTCAGCTTCCATCTCAGGAGTCAAGTCTAAGTCGTAATGAATTGGGTGAACATAGCGGGGCAGCCTGAAATTTGTCCAGGCTCCATTTTCATTATTTTTGGCATTGCAAAACTCTCTGCTCCCTGAAGCAGAGGTTGTTTGTGATGTTGGATGTGTGGGTGGTTTTGTTGACACCTGCCCATTGTCTTCTGGAGGATGGCAGGCCTCTGGCTTTAATCCTAAACCTAATCCAAGTCCCAAAATTAAGCCCACAGCAATTACCACTCCACAAATAATGGCCACGTGCTTGCCTCTCATGCAATACATTTTGGATGATTTATCTTCGATATCCATTCCCAGCATCTCCCACTACGCTTACCAAACTTAAACTTAAAACAGACACATTAAGCAACAGTGCTGTAGCTTGCTTGCTCTCTTCTCGCTCTTTGGCTGAACGGACTCCGCTGTATTAAGTATGTTGTCTCTTCCTCTTTCCTTCTCATCTGCTTTTCCTTTTGTCTGCCTCTCTCCTCTCTCCCTCCCCTTAGTTCCCTTTCAGACACTCAGTTAATAAAAAGGAAGTTTGATTTTTTCCAAAGGAAAATGACTGGTAAAGCAGGAATCATTTCAAGAAAGAAGAAAGAGGAAATGCATACAGAAGAACATTGTAGCTGCTGCTATTTGCCTTATAAGCAGCAGAGCCCCACCCCCAACTCCTCCTGCTCTGGTCAGAGTTAAATATAAAACAGTGCTGTGTTAATCAGCAGTTGGAGATGATCAAATGCCAAAGCTCACTCAGCAGCTTTCCAAAAGACAGTTCACTGCTAGAGAGGTGTAGCTGATCAAAAAACCTCAACCTTTGTCACTACCTTTACTTCCTCATCCAGTTTCTTTTATGAGCATGGATCTCCTTGGACTTCCACCTCAGATATTTGTGAAAGAAAATCCATGTTCTTGATTTAAAAAAAAAAAGTTGCTTTCCACTCCTTAAAAAACACAATTCCCCTTTCTATCTGTGTTTTCCCATTCCAAGTTGAAAAGCTTTCTTTCAGTTTTTCTGTACTTGGTTATTCCATGTGGTTATAGAAAGAACACTAAACTGTAAATGCAGTGTCTTCCTTCTTTTCCTTTCTCTGTCTGTTTCAGACAGTAAACACTGGCTTTTTTTTTCTACACACAGAAAGCCAAATGTAATCCCCAAGAATCCACTCTAATTTGCATACCAGGCAAACAGGCGGCAGTGGACATACACATCTGATTTAGCTATTTCTGGTTCACTCTGCTTGTTCAAATAGATAATTGGGATACTTAAAGCAAATACTTGATTTCTGTGGGCTAGTTTGCATGTTACAAATATCAAAGCAAATGCATGAAAAATACATTTGACATTCAGATGGTGCTGATCCTATATATGAATAATTCTTGCAATTTTTGAAAAACTATGCATTTCCAAGATCCTATTCTTACATTCCAAAGAATGTGCCAAGAATAATCTCGGGGGGGGGGGAGGAGCAGTGTTGCACATTTAGGCCCATCGTCTCATGTTGAGAAGCAATGTCTGAACCAGAAAGTTTTGCATGAATATGGATCTGAAGGTTTGTTGCTAAATGAAATAATTTTGAAACTGTATATCACTGCTCATAAATAGTAATTTTGTAGAAAGATGTCAAGTTCAACAGTACTATGTAGAGGTTTTGTCAACTACAGTATTGTTCTCTTACGGGTTAATTAAGAGGTAGAGTTTGACAAGTGGTGCCTAAACTTTTACATACAACAGTGTATGAAGGAAAAGTGAATGGGTTGACAGCAAGAAGTCTGAGAAAGTTAGTGGGGGATGATTAGATCCTGAAAAATAGACATAAGAGAAGCTTAATGAATAAAAGGCACTAAATGAAGCTGTGTATAGACATGGTAGAAGAAAGGATAATTTTCAAGGTCTGGTTAAGAAATACAGTTAATAGGGTTGGTGTAAGGCAGTTTCAGCTCTGCTTCCTTTTCATTTTCTTATATCACGCCTTCAATTTCTTTGCCTTATTGTTTTGTACTCCTTTTTTGCCCTAATTAAAACAGTGCTTACTTTGACAGGGAATAGCATGAGATAGATAGATAGATAGATAGATAGATAGATAGATAGATAGATAGATAGATAGATAGATGAACTTAGCTGCATACTATTGTACTGAGAATCAGTTTAAACTGAGTATACCTTTAAGCTCAGGTAAACAAGGATAAGACTATAACTTATTAATGTGGAGTGGAAAAAAGCAATATATTGTATAGTAAAAAACAAAACCTAAACAAGAATAAGCATCTCAACACTCCTAAGAACAAGCTATCAAAATATGGGTAAAGTTTGGGTTCTCTAGTCATAAAGTGCCCTATAATGATTCTTCAAACTGAAGAAAAATTGCCAACATTGTGAAAATGTGCACCAAAAAGAAGGAATGAGATTTGCGTTGAATATTTTTAAGTTAAAAAATAGCAAATGTTTAAAGCTGAAGCTACTTTGAACTTGAGACTGATATCTAAGCCATCCCTTCCCATTCCTTCCCCCTCTCTTTTGACTGGTAATGTTTATGCTGATGCAACCACACTACGTAATATTGTAATAAAATAATAATTTTAAAAAGATTGAGTAGCAGGCAGGAGAAGTAGACAGACGCTGGCTTGACTTTGGGTTTTGGGGTGGCAATGCATTGAGCTTGGTGCTGCTCCCAAACCCACATGTACTATATGCCCCAGAGGCACTATCTCATTCGTTCAATTTCCAATATGCAGAGGACATTATGTGAATTGCTATGCATTCATAAGAATGAACAAACCGTAGAGTTGTAAATGTTGGAAACTGTAGGCAAATGTATTTTTATCTTGCCTAACCATAGAACTATAGGAAAATCCTGCACTGTATATAGAAAAAGTGTCTCATCTTGGTGCCAGTCCAATGACAATTGCTAACTTTTTAGAGATTACATTTTTTATGAATGACCAACTGTCATATGGGCAGCTAATTGACAAGGTCATATTTTGCTCACATTCTGATATTTGTTTGCCAAACTGGGGAATCATGATCTGGTACAAACTTGTCTAAATATTAAGGACATTCTTATATATTTTAATCCTTTTCTTTTTCTTGACATTCTTTTAATCCTTGGTTCAAGAAATATAAAGCAGTAATGGCATCAGTGAAGTTTGCAAACCAGGATATAAATAGTTCGTGTCTATAACTTTACCTATTTAACGAGTTTTTATTTTCATTTTGTGGTTTTCATGGTATGTAACAATAATCTGGAGGGGAAAATATAGATTAAAAAAAACTAATTACAAGAATCACATACTAGCATCTATAGCACAGAGTGTACTCAAGAATGCATTAAAACTGTCTTCTCCAACCTGGTTCCCTCCAAATATACTGGGCCACACTGCCTTGGAATCCTAGGTAATTTAGCCTTGACACTTCTGGAGAACCCCAAGCTGGGGAAGGTGGCTTTATCGTACAGGAGGAGAAATGATTGAATCCTTTGCTCTCTGCAGACTCTTTGGACCTACGATTTTGGAAGCAAAAGTTCAAGTGCAGCTGATGGTGAACAATTCAGAGCAGAGAGTCCTACAACAAACAAGACACAAGGACCTGAATAGTACAGACAAGTCATTCACTTGTCTCTCATCTTGCTCTGTCATTTTGCCATTAGAATGGACTTCAGTGGCAGATCAGAATCTTGTTTCCCTTTTCTTAGACTGCTCCAAATAGAGAGAAAGGAGTGAGAAGAATAAAGTGAGATGAAAGTGAAGCAAGCTGCTATTATGCAAGCATACAGAATAATGTAAGTCCTTAAAAACTACTTATGATGCCAAAGTCCATTCAATCACCTTAGTAATTGTGCTAAATTAGTCTAATGGTTGAGAATCTTAGAAGCTGAGCATCACGTCTACTGACTCAACACAAGTACTGAGCAAACTATTACTTTTCCTCACACTTCTTTTTCTTAAAGATTTTCAGCTCATCATGGGTATTAACTAGTGAAAGCAAGAAGGTGGAAAATGGCACATATAAAATTAGAATGTCATATTTATTAATTCACAAGAAAGGTATTTCCATTGGTGGATATAACCTTTGGCACTTAGTAATCAGAAAAATCATTCATATACTTTATCTTAGTAGTTGTTACAATTGCTCTGTAAAAAATTGCCCTGTTCTTTGTACTCTAATGCTGGAAAAAAAGAAAACATATTTAAGACATTTCTCTTAATATTTAGCTGGATTTCCCATTCCCTGGTTCTCTTGTCATCAAATTCAATATTCTAAAGAATTTAATAAACCTAAGTCTTACTGTGTCTTTTCTGTGAAGAATTCACACCCATCACTTTGACCGCCATCAATCTGGGATAGAAAAAAGGCTACTTGTATTTCTGTGTATTTAAATAATTTGTAAATGTGTCCATTTCAAAATGCCACATTTGTCTGTGAATCTGAGCATCAAGCAAACAAATAAAGGAACCCAATTACAAGCAACAAATAAACAGAAATGGTCAAGGAAGTATGCTGTATCCTCAGGCACAGTGAAGGAAAAACAGAATAACAACCATAATTTGAAATCAGGTACTGAGCCCACTTATTCTAAGCAAATAACTAAAGAATGACTAAAGAATAACAATAGTTCAGAAACAATTTGTTATGAAAATTTGGTAAGCCAGAAAAGTTTCAAATTGTCCAAACTTGGAATTGTCCCAGTTTTGTTCATGGGGGGCGGTCGGGGGGGGGGTAGGAAACAGAATTAGAGCTCAAAATTCAAGTGTTATGGTAGAGAAGTAATACATCTGTACTTGCATTAGGTAGATGAGCTGAATTCTTTATTCCGTAATGGCAATTTTCTGGTTCTATTATCTTACCATCTAATTTGGCTGCTGGACTTCTCATTTCGTATGACAGGCAAGGAGCCTTTTACCTGTGCAGAATATTTTGGGTGCTTTCTTTATGCACTCTCAGACTTGAGAGCTACTGGGCCTTATACTAGAAGACTCCCTCTGCCCTCCCAGGGAGTTTCTATAGTTTTGAGAGATGTTATAATTGCTACTGGCAATAGGAGACACTATGTGAACCATTTTATCCTAATTGGGACTTGTCAGGCACAGGTAATCTCCTTATGCTCAAACCCTTTAGAGTTCATTCCAATAAATATGACATCAGTTGCACAGAGCCTTTTAGTAGTCAGTAGCAATCATAGCACAGGGATGTTCTGCCTGCAAACTAACAAATCTTTTATATGGCTGAACTTCAGAGCACAGATGAAAACTACTTATTTATCTTTCTCCATCTAAGCTCATATGTAGAAACCTATAATAAACTGAGAAACATTGAGCGACTCACAATGGCCCTGAGGCATTTATGGTATCAAGATGACTAGAAGGATTGTGTGGGCAAAGTAAGAGTAGTCCTATGTGCAATGATGTCCCTGCATCAGAAACAAAGAAGCAATTATATCAGCAACAGCTACACCCACTCCAGAACGTCTTTCTGTGAAAATGACATTCATGGTGAAGCAACTGCTGTAGAAGGCTTGTGCTTCATAGACTAGAAGACATCCAACTGCTCCTTCAATTATTTGGCATATATTTTGAGATTTACTACACAATTATAGCAATATAAAAACCATTCATAATACTATTTCCCAAGACACTACCCCA